CTTAGCTGAGTTCTCTATCAGTGCGCCTGTACTCAAAATTTTTCCAGAGTTTGTCTTCTGCTAGGATAGCTTTCCAGAAACCAGGATTACTGACGTGTCATGCTAAAACACTGGGATAAGACTTTAAGGGTTTAATCAGGTAGTGCTTGATTTTTAAAAATCAGGAAACATTCATGTTTTACCACATGCCTCACCATGACATGAAGTTGATTCTGAGATCTTCAAGATCAAAAGAAAAGCATATTCTCAGGAAGGTATGACCAGAGGTCAGTTCCAACAGAAGACCCTGCCTAACCTGCCTAACATGTCTTCTTACTAAGTATGCAAAGGCTTGTCATCAGGTTGGCCACTAGATTGTGAATTCTATGTCAATGGCAACACCTGGAAAAAAAAGTCTCTCAGTCCTGCACAGCTTCATTGTGCTCTTGCCATGATGATTGTGATGGTAAAATAGCAAAAAGGGAGTCAGAAGGTGGTAAGTATCATTTAATGCTTAGATATGATTAGATATTTAGATATTCATATCATTTAGATATCCATATCATGTCTATAAACATGGATATCACTCTTGTTACTCTAAATAAAAGACCATTGTCCAGTGGCCAAAAAGTTGAAATCTAACCAAAGGAACAAACATATCAGTATTTCTATTCTTGCTATAAATAAGGTAAGAAGACATAAAGAAGATACAAATTAATGGAAAGATTGCTTACAGGTTCTGCTTGGTGAACAAATAAAGGACTTGTTGTGGTTGGTTTCATCATTTGTCCCAGCGGAATGAGGAATGTCATTTCATGGAATATTTTGTAATGTTGGTCTCACAGTACTTATTATGAGCATAAGCAAAAAGAGACCATTGTGAAGAAACTGCAGTTTATATGTCCAAGTCTGTTGCAGAGGATGAAGAAATAGTGTAATTCTGTGAGAGATGACAAGAATCTTCAACCAAATCAATGTATACCTTGATAATGGGGTACAAAGGTAGGCACTGGGGAAGGTGGCAAAAATATGTCAGAAATATAGTTCAGAGTTAAGAAATAAATGGAAGAGCCAAAGATTTGTAAACTACTCATGAGTTTCATACCTGCATACGATAAATATTTTCCTCAAAATGAGTAGGGAAGTGTTGGACATAGCAAACCTATGATACCATCTCAAAAACTAAATGGACTATAACAACATACAGGAAATGACTGGTTATTAGTGTGGAGTAATTTCTGAGCTGTCTGGGTACAGTGAGATCGTTGACTAGTTAAGGATAAAGATGAGAAATAGAAAGTATAGGCAGTTGCAGACCTGGCTGGGGGGAGGGAATATCTCAAGTGGAAGGTATTGATTTTATTTCTACTTTTAGAGGGATTTAACATATAAAAGGTGATTACCACAACAAAGAGGCCAAAAGTACTATAAAACACCTTAGGCAGTAAATGATCTTAAGAAATGAAGAGACATGATAAGTATTTGAATTTTAACACTTCAGGATTGTATTATATAAAAAAGTAGAAATGGCATTTAAGAAAATAAAGGTAGCAGGAGTAGCTAGACTAGACTAAATACACATACTAGAGACAACAGAGCTTTGAGACATTGATAGGACTGATTTTCAAGATATCTGAAGGGAAAGGATAATGGGGAGGAAATCCCTCCGGAAGTTGAGAAGACATGAAGAACAACCAATTCATTTGAGGCTCTTAAAGCTATTTCAGTGGATAGAATGCTAGACTTGTAATCAGGAAGATGAGTGCAAATCCTGCCTCAGATAATTAATGCCTGTGTGACCCTGGGCAAGTCATTTTGCCTGTCTCAGCTCAGTTTCTTCATCTGTAAAATGGGGATAATAATAGCACCTATCTCACAGGTTGTTGTGAAGATCAAATGAGATGATATGTATACAGTGCTTTGCAAATCTTAAAGTGCCATAGAAATGCCAGCTACCTACCTTCTCATCTTTATAAAATCTTTATAAGAACCATGTATACATTATTGAGGGTGTGCTTGACGAAAATGAGAGAACAGGAGGGTTTTTACAGTTGATTCTTTAGAGTAGACTGGGTCTCCACAGTCATACAATTGATAAAAAATTATAAAAATATGAAAGTATATATAAAATATGAAAATAAGTCCTATGCAGAGTCTGAATTGGAAGAAGTATTTCCCAGAGATGATGAGGTCCTCCTCAACAAACTATTTGTTGATAGAATCAAGCCCTTAATACTACAGGACCTCTCTAATTAAATCTCCAATCATATTAAAGATCACCCTAACAGTTCTCTCTAGGAAAAAAAAACAAATAGACAAAAAATGCCTATTGCCCACATTATGGCATTCAGTTGGGTGGGCAGCCCGTTGAGTTAATCCGTGGGTAATAAACTTTAGAGAGGCATTGCAAACAAACAATTAACTGGGTCTAAAACTGAATAGGAAGAGTGAACTAGATTATACTTGGGAAATTAAATAGTATTTTCTATGAAAGCAAACTGCTTTCTGACAAAATCCCATTTCTTTTAAACTTTAGTTTCCTTGTGATGGTATATGATTGTGAAGCATTGAACATCACTCCCACCGAAGAATCAAAATAGTGAGTGATTTAAAAGGCAACACAAAAATGCATAGTGACCATGTGTGAGTTTCAGCACATTGCCAATGATGCCATAAATGAAAGAAGTAGTTCCAAGGATATCACCAAAGAAATGTATGAATAGAAAAGAAGTTAGGCCCAGCATGTAGTGAGAGAGTGAATGGTGGCAAATACGTAGCCCTGCTGCAGTATTTGTATTCATGGAACGTTCAAAAATAAAAAGCCCTAGAAGACAGTGCATTGAGTAGATCCTCTGTGGAAGATTTATGGGAAGACCTAGAAAAGAATTGCCCAGGATGAGAAGGCATGAATGGATTGCTATCTACACTGATGGTGAGAATGCCCACATCAGGGAGATCAACAATCCAAAAAATTATAGAAACAGAAACCCCAAACAGTACAATCTAGGTCATCTAGCTTCCTTTCTTTAGATGCACAGCTCATGTGGACTATTCACACAATTCAATTGTGTAATGAATATTGACAATTCCACAGATAAATATGTGAAAGGCACTTTGTGATTTAAATACTTCTGTATCTTGATTGTGTTTAATCAAGGCAGAGTTGCATCTACTAGATTGATAGCTTCTTTGAAGACAGGGACTGTGAAATATTCATATTTGTATCCCCTACAGCTCTAGAGTACACATTGCTTTGCAAATAATAGCCACTCAATAAATGTTTGTTGAGTGAGTGCTGGTTACCAGCCACTCTGTACCCAGAATTCTATGAAGGTAAAATTTTTATTACCTTGATAGTGTCTGTAGTCTAGAGAGCCTCCAGAGTATTAGCTTATTCAGTTGCATATTTCCTTTCTGTATGGGACCTCTGGAGTCCTTCATGCTTGGGAAGAAGGGTCTTGAGACATTTTCCTAGATAATATGGATTTTTGTAAGACTGGAACATTCCTGGTCTTTGTTAGTGAGGATGTATAAGGTTGTACTGTGATGCTGCTCATAAGTTTTGATCACATAAGGAATGGTGGGATAGGAAGTAGCTGCTAAGTTGTTTTGCTTTCTTAAATATCTCTGGCATTAATATTGACCATAAATTGTCTTATTTTCTGATTTCATTACTCTCTGATTATATTACGTAGCTGTTGATGCATTTTCCATAAAAATGGATTTTTACTTGACAAGTGGAATTGTAAAAAGAAAAATAGATAACTTTCTGATCACTCCATACTTTATTTTTCTTTACAAATCCAAGCATAAAGGTACTAAGGCTTTGTCACTGCCTATTATTTGCTTCATTTATTTAAATGCATATTCATACAGTAAAACTTCTGCCAATGTACAATGTTAATTATTAGCAACTAAAAGATGATAATTTAGATAGCATAATAAAATAGAAGGAGTACTGGCTCTAGAATCAGAGGACCCTGGGTTCAAGGTCCCTATAAATGTAGCAAAACTTTTAAAAATGAAATTGAATACTTTGATGAAAACTGATAATCTCCTAAAATAAAAATAATACCAAAACAAGGCACAAAATATATATGCAGCATACCTAGGGCTTTTAAAAAAAATGTTTGGCCTCCTTGGTGAAAGTTCTAAAGGAAAAGCAGCAAAGGCACCATTAAACAGAGTGTGTTGGCTGGGAAAGCTTCAATCAAACCCCTCCACAACAGAATGGGGTACAGCTCACTTTGGTTGCTCAGATACTGTTTCCTAGCACTTCATGAAAGCTGGTGACTTAGAACTGAGAATGTTGATTTGGGCCAAAGAAAATGGGGACACATAAATATGGGAAAAGGTGACAAGTATGTTCATAGTGAATAAATAAACAGGATGTTGGTTTGTTGGCAGAAAGAGGTATAGTAAATATAGAGCTGCCCCCCCCAAGTCAAAGAGGACTAGGTTCAAGTCCTACCTCTGAAACATTAGCTGTATGACCTTAAACAAGTCTTCTGACCTCTCAGTGCCCCAGGGAACTCTAAATGAAAACTTGTGATCTGTATTGCTAGAAGGATTTTCCTTATTTGGGAGTTCCCAATACCAGTGAAACAGGAATGGTGTTTAAAAAAAAAAGTTGCTCATAGGAACACCAAGGTGGTAAATGAAGTGATGGGAAAAAAACATTTATCTAAAACAGGGTTTCTTAACCTGGGATTTTTCCCTTCTTTAAAAAAAAATTAAATAATTACATTTCAATATAATTGTTTTCTTTGAAATACTGTGTCTTTTGTGCAATTAAAAATATTTTTCTATAAAAAGATCCATAGACTTTACCAGCTGCCAGAGGGCCATGACACAAAAAAGTTATGTTCTAAGCCAGTTAGCAGGTACTTTAAAAAAAAAAAGTCCATCTCCCAAAATGTAAAGTCAGTCACTGTGGATTTCAACACTTTGGCTTTCTGTATTGTGAGGCACATTTGTGTCTGATTTGCTAAGTTTTAAAGCTTCTCTGTTCCCCCTTTCAGGACTGAAGTGTGTGTGTCTGTTGTGTGAATATTCAAACTTCACCTGCCAGACTGAAGGAGCATGTTGGGCCTCAGTCATGCTAACAAATGGCAGAGAAGAGGTGATCAAATCCTGCGTGTCCCTCCCAGAGCTCAATGCTCAGGTCTTCTGTCACAGCTCTAACAACATTACAAAGACTGAATGCTGCTTCACAGATTTTTGTAACAATATTACCCTGCACCTCCCAACAGGTGAGTAGTGTCTTTTTTTGTTAATCCAGAATTGAATTTCTTCCTTTAAAAATTATAGCAATGGTAAAAACAGAAATACCTCTTCAAATAAGAAATACAGTTTTGTCAAATAATTCTTTTTGGAACTATGAGAAGCTCAAGAGCTTAGCTGTGGTTAATTTCAGGATAATTTTGTTTTCCCAACAATTTTAGTGTCATAATACATGGACACAGTCAGTAAATTATGATGAAGGCTCTGCTGTGTAAGCTGTATTTTAACACATTTTATATGGTTAAGTTAAACTCAAATCCTTTTAGATTCTTTAAAATGAAAGAAAATGGTGGTAGAGAGGAAATCCAAGAAGGCATAAAAAGATAAAGGCAAACTTTTTTTTTTACCAATTTTCGAAAGCTTTTTTTTCATATCTGATTAATTTTCTTCCTTTTATGCATCCTTCCCATCCATCTCCTTTCAAATAAGAGAATTTTTCCAGAGAGATGATAAGGCATGGAGAGAAAAGAGAATCGGCCATTGATCCCTATCACTTTCTTAGCTATTTCTGTCCTGTTCTGATTCACTATCTTGTTTTCTATTTTTTTGGTATTCATCAGGGTTGCTGAAGGTCTTAGTCTTGACACTTATTTCCTGATGGATGCTATGTGTGAATTTTAAATGAATATGGATTCATGCCACAAAAATGGTTCTGTTGTTGAATACTATTTTGGATGGAACACATACACAGAGTTTATGTCCATTAGGAACTTTTAAATGCATTTTCCCTTGTATAACAAATTCACAGATTACACTTTGGATAATCCAGATGATGATATTCCCTACCCCCAATCTACCTTACTACAAGGCCCTTTGACTTTAAACATTGTCTGCTGTTCTCACTCTTCTTAAAGTTCTACTCCTAAGCGAAATACTGGAATTATCTTTCCTGGATTCATTCAATGAATTAAGCAAGAAAACAAAACAAAACAAACAAACAAACAAACAAACAAACAAAAAACCAGCTACTATGCGTCGGGACAAGTAACATAGATAGACATACAGTATAAATATAAAGTGAATATATACAAATGCAAAGTTATTAAATATAAGGTACTTTGGGAGGGAGGACATTAGCAGTTGGGGAATTGTGAAAAGCTTTATGTAGGAGATGGTGCTTGAACTGTGTTTTAAAGGAAAAGAGAGACTTTGGAAGAGAGGAGGTAGTATGTTCCAGGAATGGAGGATGAGCCAGTGCAAAGGCATGGAAAAAGGAGATAGTGTCATATGTGAAAAACGGAGAGAGGGCCAGTTTGGGTGGATGACAGAATGTAAGAGGGGGAAGTATTATCTAATGAGGATGGAAACATAAGCTGGAGCTTGATTATATAAGCTAAACAGAGTTTATATTTTATCCTCAAGGCAATTGAAACCCAGTGGTGTGGATTATTGGAGTCACATGGCCATAGTCTATAATTAAGGAAGATTACTTTGGCAGCAGTATTTAACATGGACTAGAGTGGGTAGGGACTTAAGGCAGGGAAAGCACTTAGAAGCCTATTTCAGTAATCTAATAGAGAAGTAATGAGGTCCTGAAATTAAGTAGTACTCCTGTGACTAGAGAGAAGGAGTCAAATGGGATAGGTGTGATAGAGTTAGAAATGACAAGATCTGGCAACTGATGGAATATATAGGATAAAAGAGAATGAAGAGTTTTTGATAATGCTAAAGATATAAACCTGGGAGACTGATATGATGATGGAGCTTTCAACATAAGAAAATATAAAAGAGGGAGTGGGTTAAAAGTGGGAAGATAATGAGTTCATTTTGGGACATGTTAAATTTGAGATGTCTTCAGGTTATCTAGTTTCAAGTATCCAATTGGCAATTAATTGGTCTTGTGGGACTGAAACTTAGGAGAGATTGGATATATATTGTCCTGGGAGTCATCTGCATAGAGATTAGAATTAAACCATGAGGACTGATAAGGTGACCTAAGAGAGAGCAGAGAGGGAATAGAGAAGACCTTCAGGAAGTATCCGCAGTTAAGAAGGAAAGTGGTCAGATACCATAGGGAGAGAACCAAGAAAGTGCCATGACCACCCACAGAGAAAATATCCAAGAGGAGACAACGGTCAACAATGCCAAATTCGATGGCTAGATCAAGAAGGATTAGGATCAAAAAAAGACCATTGAAACAGGCAATTAAGATATCAAGGTTAAATTTGAAGAAAGCAATTTCAGTTGAAGCATGAAGCCAGAAGCCAAATTGCAAAGGATCGAGGAGTAAATGAGAGTAGAGGAAACAGAGGCAGTAAGTGGAGAAAGCTTTTAGAATGAATTTGGGAATGGGAGAATAGATAGAAGAGAAGAGTTTCAGGGGATAGTAGGGTTTAGTGTGGATATTTTAAGGATGGTGCAGATATGGGTATGTTTTAAGGTAGTAGGGAGAGAAGCAGTAGAAATGGAAAGTTGAAGATTTGAGAGACAGAGGGGATAATTGAGGATAAAATCTTTTGAAATGGGAGATGGGATTTAGTACCCATTGCCCTTGTCAAGAAGGTTCATCTCATCATCAGAGACTGGGGAAAGGAGATCATGGTGTATGGGTTGATATCAAGGGGTTTTGAGATGAAGACAAAGGGCAAAGAGGGAGTTACATTAAATGACCACAATTATCTCAAAGAAATAAGATCTTCAACTGGTTTGGGGAAGAGAGAAAAGTATGGGAGGCTTGAGGAGGGAAGAGCAAGTTTGCATAGCTTCTTTGAGGAGTGAGATGGGGGATCAATTAGGGAAGATTAAAAGGACTGTGTTCCTGAAAAAGGACACAGTTGAAGATTAGACAGCACAAATCTGAAATGTACCCAGTTGACACAGTATTGGGACTTCCTCCTGCCATGTTCAGCAGTTTGTGAGTGCAATTGGAGGAGGCAAACAGTAAAAGAAATCCAATCCTGAATTTTTACAAGACAGGAGCAAGGACATGATATGGTAGCAAGGGATTCAAAACAGAGGACAGTACAAAGTTGAAATGACTATTGTGATAAGAATGGAGAGGGAGCAAAGTGAAGTTAGAGCAGGGCTAATGGCCTAAGGAGGTACTAGGGGTGGAGAAATTGGTTGTCTCAGTGAGGTTGAACAATAGGCTTAGGAAAGGTGAAACATAAGGAAAGGGGAAATGATTGAAAAGTCTGATTATGAGAGTGTCAGAATTCCTTACTAGAGAAGAACACTTTTGTGGGTCATAGGGAGATCTAGTATATAACCATCCTCATGTCTGGTCAATGTGGAATGAAGGAATAATTGACCCCAAGTCTCTCCCGTAAACATTTTTTTTTAATACTAGCATTTGACTGGTATTGATATTTGGCAGGGAAACATGGAATGTAACAGTCTCCAAAGAACTGGAAATGAATATCACAGAGGTCAATGGAGAGATGTCTGTGAGCAATGGAGGGTGAGCAGGCTGCAACATATAACCAATTAGGAACTTTCAAGAACAGAAATAAAAGTTGTCATCAATGAAAGTGTGATCCTAAGAGAAAGTGGGCTGGTCATGAGATGGGGCAAGGGATGACAGGTAGACAAGCCAGAATGTTCTGCTGTTAATCTTGTGATTTCAGGAGAAAGCATTAAAAAGCTTCCAGCAGTTTGAGTGGACTCCACATGGTAAACTGATGGGAAGACCTGGATTAATAGATCTTGCTGAACTTCATTAGGCTGCCCTTCAAAAGGCCGACTCAGTCTGTTGCTGGGGCATTTCCAGCATGGAAGAACTTGACAGAATTTAGCCTTTAAGAATACAAGTCACCTCCATGACATAATGAGGCATCAGAATAGCTCTGTGAAGGAAAAGAGTATATGACTAAATTAAAAAGCACACAGTTATTTAATTATAGAAGATGTCCTTTGGCATGGCACTGAATTGGGTCTGGGATCCTACTAATGAATGTTTCTGAGTCTGCTTCTTACCTGTTTTCTTTCTTTTTGACTACAATGATAGTGACTCACTGAGCTATCTGTCTGAATTGCAGAATTTGCCTCTACATTCCTTGGTGATTCAGAAGGGAATTACCAGTGTACTCGACAGGCTATCACAACACACTTTGAGTACTGATTGCATGGATAAAAAGCAACTGTGTAGCCCATTTCTACTTAGCTGCTGAATAGCATATGGTATTTATGTGTTAGCAGTCTTTAGGATGTGCACAAGGTAGGCTGGAAAACTTCCCTTGATGCAAAACCAGGCAGCACTATCCATGATTAGAGTGTTGGACTTTGAACCAGGACAGCCTGGGTTCAAATCCTGCCTCTGACTTTAGCTATGTGATGAGGGGCAACCATAAAACCTGAGTCTCAGTTTCCACAAGTGTAAAAAGAAGGGATTGGTTTAGATGGCTGCTAAGGTCACTTTCACTTCTAAATCTATAGGCAATAGAATCCATCCCTTCCTCTTCTCCTTTCTCTGCTTTTGTTTATTACTTGACCCCTTACTGTCTGATTTCTTGAATCATGGCCCAAGTGAAACTGCTGTATTTAGGGTTTCTAATTATGTCCCTGAAACCCTAAAGACCTATCTGTAGCACATATGGCACTGTTGACCATTCTTATACAATACAATGAAAGGTCAGAAGAAGGAGATGTTTGTCAGAAATTTAATTCAGTGAGCACTTATTAATTGCCTTCTATATGCTAGACATTATCCAAAAGATAGCTAGGTGGTGTATTGGATAGATTATTGGACCTGGAGTTAGGAAGAACTGAGTTTAAATTCTGCTTCAGACACTTACTAACTATATAACCTGAGGTAAGTCACTTAACTTCTTTCTGCCTCAGTTTCCTCATCTACAAAATAGGAACAATAATAGCACCTAATTTCCAAGGTTTTTGTGAGGATAAAATCATAACATATACATAATGCAATATACAAACCTTAGATCACTACACAAATACTATCATCATCATCATCATCATCATCATCATCAAAACTTTTATCATCAGCATCATCATCAACATCTCTATATAG